TTGGAACCCATCTCTTCCTACCTTGCGGCACAAAATATTTTCTAGCATGACAGAATTTTATAGTATGTCCTTTCTTCATGCAGTAATGACAAGATGAGAAAGGGGATGCTGTTGTTTTTCTGTATGAAAAGAAGTTCAAATATTTTTTAGTTTTTACCCCATTCTTAGGTTTGTACCCGATTCCAGAATGTTTAAACATACAGTTTTGAGACCCAAGCAGTGCATCTAAATTCTCTTTACCTTGAGTAAATTTTGTCAAGGTTTTAGTCAAGTAATCAACCTTATTTTGTAAAACAATACACTTTTCACAATTCTTATTAACAACAACATTATCAGCAGATGAATAGATAATATCTAGATGTTCTAAATTTGTTTTGCTTTCTAATAATTCTTTTTCCAGAACTTTAACTCTATTCTCTAACCAGTTATTTAAACCTTTCAACCGATTATTTGTATGAGATAAATTTACGGCTTCACTATGCATTTCATTGAAAGCATTTAGTAATGTGTCTGTAATTCATTTCATTCTCTCGTAGGAGTTGAACTTACATGTGATGAAGAGGATTCACAGCCAGGTCATCAAACACGAGTTCACCTCTTCACTTTCGGATTCGAAGTCTGGAAGATGAATCATTGTCTTGCCAGGCTACATAGGCCTTTTTCCCTTTGTATCTTGATTCTTTCTTGTTCGATTCTTGGTCTTTTCCGGACAATCACTCTTTATGTGACCCTGTTTACCACAAGAATAACAAGTAATATTATTTTGAACAGATTCAGTCTTTTTATTATTGTACCTTTTTACTTGACCGGTTCTGTTCTTTCTTCTAAGAAATTTCCCAAATTTCTTAACCAACAAAGTCGAGTTCTCCGATTCATCTTCTTCGAGATCCACTGTTTTCTTCAATCGTCTTGAGAACAATATTTCCGCTTTTCTTTTCGTATTCTCTTGTTCTTTGAACCGATTGATTTCCAACTCATGTTCCCTTAACTTACCAAAAAGTGAAGCGGTAGTCATTTCAGTCAAGTCTCTTGATTCCGATATAGTCTGTCACCTTTGGTTGCCATGTTCTCGTCCAAACACTTTAAGATTTTGATGTTCAACTCTTCTTTGTCAAAAGTCTTCCCTAACCCAATTAGGTGATTGACTATGTGTGTGAACCTTTTACGCACATCCGCAATTGTTTCTCCTTGCTTGCATTTTAAACAACTCATAGTCCCCGATTAACTCATGCTTTCTTGCCCTTTTCACATCGAGATGTTCCTTCATGTGTGACCTCTAAAATTTCCCACATCTCTTTGGCGGAGGCACACTCGAGACACCACTGAAAAACTCATCAAGATTTAAAGCAGAGGTAATAATATTTTTTGCGAGTATAATCATATTGGACTCTCCTATTTTCTACATCGGTTAATTCGACCCAATCTTTTTCAACTACTTTACCGTCTACTTGTATGAGTTGGTTTGTAAGGACCATTAACAATTGTTTCCCAAATGCCTCTATCAAGGGATTCAATAAAGATTTTCATTCTAACCTTCCGGAAAGAATAATTCACACTAGAAAAAAGTGGAGGCCTGTTTATGGAGGCTCCTTCGAAAAAGTCATCTTTCCCTCGACCATTGGACCGATTTCTTGAGTAACTTACAAGAACCAGCTTCGGTACCAATTGAAATAATTAATGGTTGAGTTCAAGAGGGGGGGTGAATTGAACTTTAAAACTTTTTCGCAAAACTTACTTTCTTTTGGAAGAATGAGTTATCTTTATTCAATCTTTGCAAAGGTAATTTGGTTTAAACACAGCAAGTATATAGACAGAAAATAAAAGAGATGAAAGAAGAAATTTAACACACAAATTTATACTGGTTCACTCTAATCCAGAGCTACATCCAGTTCTTGACAAACCTGTCAAGTTCCACTAATTCCAAGTGAAAATTACAACCAGTAGATACTCACCAATCTACCCCAAGAACTATCTTGAAAACCCACAAGACAGAATCTTGAAAACCACCCAGTAACCAAATTCAGTTACTGTACCAAATGCAGATCACAATCCAACCTGCACAATTACACTTTTACAAAAGAATATGGAAAGAAAAAACCTGGACTTGAAGTTCTAGTTGTCCAGAACAAATTCTAACAGCACTTTCTCTCTTTGATTGACCACAATTCTGATCACAACACCTTATGATATGAAAAGATTCTTGAATGCAGAGAAAGTCACGTATATGAAAGTTTCACAGATTGATTTTACAAGTTTTCTCAAGTAGTGTGTTATATGTATATCAAAAGATAGATCAATTCTGTATATATAGAGTAAAACATAAAATCAGAACGTTTCATCTGTCAAAAACTGATTCAGAGAGTCAAAAGATCGATTAATTTGAGAGTATAACAGTTTAGAAGAGATTCTGATCGATTAGAACTGAAGTATGATCGATCAGACTGAGTTATGATCGATCAGAATGAAACTATGATCGATCAGAATACATTTCAATCGATTAAAACATCGATTCAATCGATTGATTTCATTTAAAGTTCCATTCAATCGATTGTTTTGAGTTTTTAATGGATTGAAACAACTTTATGAAAAATAATAGCTCTCTGTTTTAATCGATTGAAATTTATTTCAACAGATTGAAATCCTGCAACCACTTAGTTAATAAAATAGCCTCTCTGTTTTAACAGATTAAAAATCATTTCAACAGATTGATTTTCTGAAAAACTCTTAGACTGAAAAATAGTCTTTCTGTTTCAACAGATTAAAAATCATTTTAACATATTGAAAATGCGAAACTTTGATATTTTAAAAAATTCATTGAGTTATTTTAACTTGTTGATTCTGCGAATCAATCAATTGAAAATACGACTATGTATTACCACTTATTATGTTAAGTGATTTTAACAGATTGAAAATCCTTTTCAACAGATTGAAAAAAAACTTAGTTTGTTCTTTTAATACTTAGATATTAGTTTTTCATGCAGAAAAAATGATTTTCAATGGGATGCAACATTATAAGGCGCTTATCACAATATAATGGACTATCAAGAGATTAAGTGCTTAAACTAAAACCTAATCATCTACACACCCACAACCTAAGCTATATCTATGTCTTCATCAAATCCACCAAGTGCTTCCGTCCTTATATTGTTACTTCTAGTTCCTTAATCAATCCTTCAACCACAAGAGCTTTGCCATTCCCAACTAATACCTGAAAATCCAGTATGCGCTCAACTGACAGTTTTAGGCATTGGGCAATTCTAGGTTGCAAAAAATTATCTAAGCTACCAATATCAAGTAATATTTGCACTTGCATACCCTTAACAGATCCTTGGAACCTCATTGTACCTACCCCAAATGACTCTTTTAAAGCATTATATGATAAGTAATGCTCCTTAACGATTAAGTTTTCTACCATATTTGAGATATCAGGTGGATCGGGTTGAATGTCAATATTATCATCCTCTTCCAAGTGCAACAATAGGCACTGTTTATTTGGACACTTATGGATTGGAGAAAAATTTTCATCACATCTGAAGCATAACCCTTCTCTCTGCGTAATTGCATTTGAATTGGGGTCATTCTTTTAATGTTGGTGTTTCTCGGGTTGGTGATAGGGCTGGATAATAAGGGTGGTAGATTGGCAGATTTTAGTGATTGGGTCACAGGTAGGCTAGTGTTTGGAGTTCGTGTTTTGGTCTAAGTTTGAGGGTAATATGTTCTTGGTTTAGGTAGGTCTTTCTCTTCATAGAGTTTAGCTAAAGACACTGAGCGAAGCAACGTTGCTAGGGATTGTGCAATTCCATCCCTACGACTGTCTGGTTTAAGGCCACCCATAAAACAATCCAAAAGAGCCTCGGTGGTCCTTGAACACAATTAGCTAACGTTGTGAATTGGGTATAATATTCCAGTACAAAACCGATTTGAGTAAGTTTGAACAAATTTGATCGAGGGACTTCGTAAGGGGACGGTCCAAACTCCAATTCTAGAGCTTCAGTGAACATAACCCATGAATGAAAAACATTCGCTCGTGACATCATCTGGAACCAGGGAACAAGGTCTTTGTTGAAATGTATCGCCGCTATGGTCAAGCGTTGGGCATCAAGTGTATGGTAATAATAAAAAAATTGTTTGGCCATAAAGATCCTTTGAAGAACATCTGATCCATCAAAACGGGAAAAATCTAGTTTAACGTGTGGAGCAGGTTTCAACATCTCCTCCATTGTTGAGTCTAGCGTTTCAAAACGAGTAGAGTAGTCCTCGTCACGAGCCTCCATCATTTCCAACAAGCGCTTGAAATCGAAGGCGAGTTCTTTTAGGCGCGTGTTTTCCGCCATGAACGATAAAAACACCAATGTAACAGAAGCATAATGACACAACAGTAGAGAGTTTTATGGAAAAAGAAGAAGCTCTGTAATTGTATTATTTACTAGCAAGCGTCAGCTACACAAAAAGGGAATCAAACTATAAGTATAGGATAATTGAACCTAAGAGAGGAAGGTTCTGCACACTTTTTCTCTCACTCCCCCCTTTCTCCTTCCACCCATCCAGATTCTTATGCAAATCTTCTCACCACACAAGTCCCTTAGCCATACATTTGTTATTTTGGACCATGGGTTTTTTCTTACGTTTTCCTCATATTCTCCTCATTTGTCCTTTTTGTAATTGGCTTCATTACAATACTCTTCTGAGGTACACCTAGTCCAGAGCAGGAGCAAAGGGTGGAATAAATGTGATAAGAAAGAAGATTTGGCGAGAAATCGTATTTTTTTTATCACAGAAACTGGTTCTGACTTTTTAGGGATAAAGACAACAAAAAATTGAATGAAAAAGAAACATTTTGGAAGTATTTATTAAAAATAAATAATCTGAAGAGAAGATTTTCCATTAAAGGGTTTCCTCTTTCTACAACAACAGAGTTGAAGTTCAATTTCCCATATTATAATAATTCTGAGATTTTTCCCTCTTCTACCCTCTCCTCCTATTTAAACTAATCCACAAAGATGAAGAAACAAATCTGGATAGGCTGGTTCACTAGCCAAATGAGTGAACTGGTTAAGTTATCAATAAAGCCATCATTAGAAAGCAGTGGAGCGAAAACCGATACACTTGTTGCATGCAACAATTTGAAACATGATGATGCACTTTGTTATGGTTGGAAATATGCTTAAGCATCTTAGAACTTCATGTGTGTCGGGTGTTAAAGCAGTAGTCTTCTCAAATCTCTATTCCACAAAAGTAGGTGGTTCAGACCGACATGTCATAGATAAGATGGAGTATAGATTCTAATCTATCTCATTAACATTAAAAGATGGATTGACGATAGGTTAATTAATCATTTTTTATAATTTTTTTTAAAATATATATTTTTAAATTTTATTTATTATTTAATATTATTATAAGATTAATTAAGAAAATTGGTACATTTATATATTAAAGTATTTAACTATAAAAAATATTTAAATTTAAGTTATTAATATATATTATTTAAATTATAATGTTATAATATATTTATATATTTTAATAATATAATATAAAAAATATAATATTTTTAATTATATTTTTAATTTTTATTATATAAATATTTATAAAAAACGGGACAATAGGTTAATCTACTTTAATTCATCCTTATCTCATCATGTTAACGGGTTAAATATAATAGATTAAAACAGATTAATGGATTAAAATGATTCATTTGTTCTACCATCATAGGGCAAGAAGCCTATATGTGAGATTTAACCCGCTTTGCATCCGCTATTGAATATCTTTACATCTCCAGAGGTTTCTAACGGTTGAAATACGTTATTTTTTTCATGGACAACATCAAACACTGATGTCTTACCTTGCAGAAACATTTGTTATGACAACCTACTTGGATAGAAATTTGTACTAATTATTTTGAATTTTACTCATTTTGTCTTGTCATATATATATATATTTCCATTTTATTTAACCTGTTTTTTATATGTAGTTCTTATAAAATAAAATGAAACAGATTGATTTATTATAGTTAAATAGACTTCAAAATCACATTTTTCTCAATCTTATTTTATACGTATTTTAAAAGAAACATATTTTAATTATATAAATAATTTTTATGTTTTTATTTATTAATTAATATTTTTATTAGATAAATTAAAAAATTATTATATTTATATGTTAAAATATTTAATTATAATTAATAATTTAAATTTAATTAATGAATATTTATAATTTAAATTATAACATTATAATATATTTATATATTTTAATAATATAAAATAAAAATATAAAAAAATTTAATTTTAATTTTAATATATAAATATTTTTTTAAAACAAATCAATAGACTAACCTATCGTATCTTTGACCCACCGAATTTACACGTTAGCCTAGTGATTAAAATTATGAATGTGAAACCTCTCCATTTGGATTTGTTTTTTATATTGATAGTTAATTACTAATTTTTATGGCTTAATGTCAGAAGCTTTGTACAGGCAATTCTTGGGGAGGAGGTGCTGCCATCAAAGCTTACTCTTTTTCTGAAATAACAAAACAGATCATTGATGAAGTTCAGGCACTACGTGATCTAATATCGCATTCCTCTGTTTTGCTCAGACAAATACAATGGATTAATCCTCCTTCCTTAAAATTTTATTTTTTTAAAGTATATATTTTAAAAAAATAAAATTTTGAATATAGTATTGAAAAAATTGTAATTTCAAAATATTCAACAAAACATTTAAAAAACAATTCAACTTTCAAGCATTTCTAATTCTCTCAAAACTTTAAAATTCTTCATCCAAAATTGTAACTTACTTCCAGTGACGTCAAGTGAGTGTAAATTAATAAATAGCTCTCTCTCTTCCTTCAAAGTTATTTTGATTTTCATAAATATTAAAAGTAAAATATATAAATATGTATAAACGGGATGAGTTGATCTTAGATAAAAAATTTCTCAAAAACTTAAAAACTTCACTTTATTATTCTTTATTATACTAAAAAGAGATTAGAACTCTATATTTAAATACTCTCCTTAACTTTTAATATTAATTCTCTAAAAATCGAAATATTATCTTTCTAGAATTCAAAATATTCTACTATAATGTCCTTAATAATATTTCTTTCTAAATGTTCAAAAAATTATCCAACAATCAGAAACTTCTAACACCTGATAAATGTTCTTCAACCAATTTTTAACTTTATCCTAGGATCTAATCCACCTAAAGTTGACCAAATGGATTGATAAAAAAAGCTTGCTCAGACAGAAAAAATCGACACTAGAAGGACAAAAGACACACAAATCTGTAAACTTTGCATTAATGATCTAAGCATAATTTAACAAATGAAACAACATAATGTAAAGGTTAAGTCATCAGTGAGGAGTAGTTATAATCTCTTACAAAGTCTGTTACTTACAAATTTTGCTTTGTATAAAATAACTCTCTGTCTGAATTCTGATTACTGTTAATAATGATAAATCAATTTAGTATTTTATTGAATCTCTTCCATTATCTCTGAATCTACAGCTAGCAATGAATCCAGTCTCAATCAAAAGTGATGACAATTTCATAACCGAAGACTGAAGCCTTATTAGGCGCAATAAGGTAAAGCAGCCGTGAGAATTCCATCACAGGAAAGGACTTTTGGAGGAAGACCAGAAAAGTTCTTGGGAAACATCTGAAGATGGTCAAGTTTGTAGAAAGATCTACCAAGTCGGCAAGAGATGGGAGAAGAAGGATCGGGTAAGCCTTCGCCGATACAATAAAATCTTATATTATCCATCTCTATTTACCGTAGGATATATAGTCATTAGAAAATAATTACTAATGAAAATTACTAACGATGGATATATAGTATTTAGAAAATAAATAATTACCAATAAAAATTACTAAAAAATTTAAAATAATTGTGAAATTTGGTCTTACCAACTAATATATTCATTAGTAAATAGATAATTAATTAATGTCAATAAATTTATATGTAAATAAATAATTAATTATCGATGAATATATCTATCGATAAATAAATAATTAATTATTGACGAATATGTCTATTAATAAATTAATAAATAATTACTAATAGATATTATCGATGAATTTAAAATGTATTTTTAAAAATCAACATTAAATTAAAAAATTAAATATTTAAAATTATATAATAATTACTTAATTTTAAATATATTCTAATAAATTAATTATTCACCTAATTAAAAAGTTAAATACTTTTTCTATTTAATAATTTAATTTAATCATAATTATTTGTTAGATTAAAAAATTTAAAAAAATAATTTTAAAAATAAATATTTAAGTATTTTTAATATTGAAAAAATTATTTTAATATAATAATTTTAATTAAAAAAAAGATAAATATATAACTATATAAATATAACTATATCAAAATATATAAATATATTTGTATTTATATATTTTATATTTATATATTTACATAGATATACATTTATTTGTATATAAATATAATTTATTCGTAAGTTTTTATCGAGAAAATTTTAGTAATCTAGTGATTGAAGAATCAGTCTCCAACTCTAAAATACTGAGTTTGAATTCTATTATTGAAAATTATCTTAATATGATAATAATTCAAATTAAAAAAAATGTAATAAATAATATAATATAAATGGGAGAGAGTTATAAATAAATGAGAATGTAGGAGTTCCAACATACTTTTCAAATTTGTCGCTAAAATTTAGGGTTAATATTTACGACAATATAATTTCTGACTTGTCTATCGGAAAATCAAATTTTTCTGAATTGGACTTTTTTTTTCAGGCCCTTCAAGCAGTCTTACAGTCGAGTTTTTCTTTGAGATGTAGACGCATAGGTTAGTATGATGAAATTTCGGAAGAGATTAATTTAGCAGGAAAAGCAAGATAGTTTAAGAATTCAGTTCAAGAATTTTCTTCTTTTAAACAATTTCTTTCAAACAAATAAATTTCAAGTGATGTTTTCATCTTTTGCTTCATGGCAGACACCACTACTAGAAAATATGGTTTTAATGTCGCTGTTTAACGTCGGTTACATCTTAAACGATGTTGAATATGCTTTCAACGTCGGTTGGTCAACAACCGACGTCGAAAGTCGAATTTTGACACATTCTACGTCGTTTTAGTATGCCCGACGTGGAAAGTAGGCTTTCAACGTCAGTTATGCCCTCACCCGACGTTGAAAACCCTTCTGCATGGGCTTTCAACGTCCCCGGACGTTGAAATGCCAAAACTCACACACTTTAGATAGCGGTTATAAGGGAACCGCTATTATATCCTCTCAATTATGATCGCTCATTTCAAGTTATGATCGATCAGGATCTTATTTTGCTCGAGCGAGAGTAGTGTCGCTCAAGCGAAATACAACCCGAGAATGTCATTTTTGTGCAGGGGGTGTTTCGCTCGAGCGAGAAGAGTGTCGCTCAAGCGAAATACAACCCGAGAATGTCATTTTTATGCAGGGGGCGTTTCGCTCGAGCGAGAAGAGTGTCGCTCAAGCGAAATACAACCCGAGAATGTCATTTTTGTGCAGGGGGCGTTTCGCTCGAGCGAGAAGAGTGTCGCTCAAGCGAAAAACATTTTAGATAGCGGTTAACCTGGAACCGCTATTATATTGTTTCAATTATGATCGATCAGAATGCGAGTTATGACCGATCAGAACTATTTTAATCGATTAAATCTCGTTTCAATCGATTAAAACGATTCTACACAGCGTTTTAATCGATTAAAACTTGTTTTTATCAGTTAAAATAACTTGAAAAGTTTTACGAGAAAGTTTTGCGAGTATTTCAATCGATTGAATCGCGAAACAATCGATTAAATCAACTTAGAAGATTTTTTGTAAAGTGTTTTAATTGATATAAACGTTGTCGTATCAGTTAAAACAAATCTGTTAAAGAATCAAGAACGTATTAATGGATTAAAAGAAGTTTTAACAGATTAAAACTGCACTTTTAACAGATTAAAAGAATCTTTTAACAGATTAATTAAACCAACAGTTTTGAAAATCTTCTATAAAAACAGTTTGGCTTGAACTTTTTTAACATACATTGAATATATCATCTTTTACACATCCTTGAGCAATCAATCAATCGCTAATTGCGACCGAATTAAAGTGGGGGTTGGCTCGATGTTAGAGTTCGACGTCACTAGGGTATGCGTTAGGGTTCGAGCTCCGCTGGGTTTGCGTTGGGTTTCACGAGCATGACAATTGGGTTTGGCTTGACATTGGGGTTCGATGTCGCCGAAGTTGGGGTTCGGCCTCGAGTTCGTCGAGGTTGAGGCTGGGGTTGAGATTCGAAGTTGATTGGGTGTTTTGGTCACTCGGATTTGAGATTCAAGGTCACTGGGTTGGATTTCAAGCTTGAGGTCGGGTCATGCATGCTTGGGTTAAAGATCTTCGAAGCTGGAATCGGATTTGAGATTCAAGGTCACTGGGTTGGATTTCTACAAGTGATATTTACACGGATATATATTTATTTGTATATAAATATAATTTATTTGTATGTTATTATCAAAAAATTCAAGTAGTTTAGTGGTTGGAGTATCAGCCTCCAACTCTAAAGATCTTGGGTTCGAATCCTGCCAATGACAATTCTCTTAAAAATTTAAAAACTTCTAAAAAATATAATATAAAGAAATGGAGGACCTAATAAAAATATAATATGAAGAGAGGGAGACTTCTAGATAAATAAAAGGGGTAAAGGGGTTGTAAATAAATAAAAATTATTAATTTAAAAAATCATACTTTTTAACGTTGAAAGTCTTCGAAGCCGACGTTGAAAGCTTTATTTGTATTTGTAGTAGTGCACATTGTGGAGAGCAACGTGACAAGAATGAAATTCTTACGGATGAAAATTCCATGCCCCGACAGAGGCCCAAATGTCTTGCTGTGAAGTGTCATGAGGCTTGCAATGAAAAAATTACATACTGGTCCATCACCTATTTGCTGAATTATTTACTTTCGATCTTTTCAATTGAAGTACTCAGGTTCTTACTAATTAAAGGGTAGTTGTCTTTGTGTGTAAAGAACAATTTGTTTTCAATGAAAAAGATACATCGTTTGCATGTTGATATGCTATAGTTGCTGCAATATTTTTACATGTGATGTGATGAAATGGTTTCGTTGTGAATATATGTTCTGGTTTCTTTCTGGAAACAAATGACATATATGGTGAAAACCTTTGTTGTTTTCTTCAAGGTTTGTATTTCATATGGTGTTTTCGGATTTTCTTCAATGGCAGACAGATATTGAAGACCTATGTAAACCTGAGACAACAATCCCTTGGAATAAAAGGCCTATCTTCATGCGGAGGTCCAAGAGTCTTGCCAAGGAGGCTCAGGAGATGAGCAATGAAAACGATGCCAAAGAGGTCCATCATTTAAACTCCATCATCACCTATTTGTTGAATCAGTATTTTAGTGAAATCTTGATTAATGATGCTGAAATGTTGAAGCTGTTATTGTTATTATGATTGTACTAATTTGAGTGAGATTTGTTGGGGCCATAGGAGAGAGGCTGGCATAGAAGCGTGGAGAAGAATCAAAAGCTGATACATTGAAGAAGAAGCCTGACTCATCACAATATCTTCTTGTGTCGTCTTTTTATTTGATAGGAAATATAATTGTAAGGTTACCAAAAATAGGGAATGTTATCTCTAAAATTCTTGACTTCCTTTTATTTGCGCCTCTTTCATTAAGGGTTAACTAAAAAATTTAATTCTCCAAGTTTTGTTTTAAAACAGATTAAAAATTTTAGCATAATGTAACGAATTAATAGATCAATTTCGATTTTATTAATTTTTTTCTTTAAATATTAACATATTTATATCAAATTAATTAATTAAAAAAATATTTAACTAAAAAATAAAAATAACTTTTTAAAATTTAAATTTTATTAATAAAATTATTTTTATTTAAGATATAATAATCTAATATATATATATATATATATATATATATAAATATATAAATGATAAGAAAATATATTTATTTAATCTCAAAATAAGAATTAAATTATTATTATTATTATTTATTTTTTAATAATTTAAATTATTATTAAAAATTTATTTTAATATTTACTTTTAGAATAACTGAATTAATTGGTAAATTAATTTATAATATATATATATATATATATATTAATAAAATAATATTATTTTTATTTAAAAATAATTATTCTATCCAACATATCTATTTTTAAATTTCCGTATTAGTTAACCTAAATTATTTATCTTTAAACTTACTTATTAGTTTAACCTAAATTCATAAGATATGATTGATTTAAATAGGTTGGATAAAAATAATTCTAATTTTTGTTTTTTAGTTAATCCTAATCCTATTTCTGACCTTTGAAACCGTTAATCTATTTTCATATTGTTTTTCTTTAATATTTCTTATGATAAATTTCAATGAAATATAACAAAATCTTATAAATGTGAATACAAATATATCTCTTCAATCATTGAAAACTACTTCATAGTTCAATATATTAAAATTAATTTAAATCATTTGTTAGTCTTTATACGAGTGTTTTTTCAGATACATTGAAATTTTGTTTGATTTTATAATATCTGCCATTAAAATTTTCATCAAATCTAATGAAAGATGAGAAAGATCAAAATAGATAAATAAAAAGTAAAAATCACATAATAAAAAGAATAAGAGGTTAAAATGAAAAACAGTGACTGAATTAAAGGGAGTACTAAAAAAATAGTTTAATATGAAATTGATTAACAAAACAAATTATAAACATACAAACTTCATAGAAGTGGTGAAACTAAACCATAATTAAATGGTTGAAAGAATTGTTAATGAACTAATAAAAATAATTCTTTTTTATTTGTTGATTACTAGATTCAACCCATTTTTTATTTTATCACAAAACTATGTCATGTTTTATTTATAGCTGTTTTCAAAACCTTAAATCAATCGCTTTTAGTTTCTTGAAAATGAGAAATGAGTGTTTAGTTAGTCACTTTTATCAGTCACAAACCACGTTCAATCATCTTGTTATTCCACTCTCGTCTAGTTAGTTATTTTCGTTGTTATAATTTATTGCATTTTTCTCATAGAAAGCCTTGTAAATTGCCACGTCGTATTCAAAACATTTGCTGGAATTGAAATTTTGAGATCACAATGACAAATCTTTTAACCTCTCACTCTGAGGGTTAAACAACTGAATATATCCTTTACTATAATATTCCCTATTTTTTCTAACCTTTCAATTACATTTAATATCTAAGAAAAAATGAAACAAGATACTGTGATGATTCAGTTGTAAGATGCTCTTCCTTCCTCAACCTGAGCCAGGCTTCTTCTTCGATGTATCTGCTTTTGATTCTTCTCCACGCTTCTGAGCCAGCCTCACCTATGGCCCCAACAAATCTCACTCAAATTAGTACAATAATGATAACAATAAACAACACATGAAATATGAACTTTTTAAGAAAACAACAAAGGTTTTGTTTTCAGAAGGAAACCAAAACATATTCACAACCAAGTTGTTTGGAATTCTTCCAATTCTCACAAGCATGATCCACCATGCTGCTTCATTTGTTTAATGAGTGAGAACCTAACAAGTACTTCAACTCAAAAAGAACGAAAGTAAATAACTCAGTTAGTAGGTGATGGACCTTTAAGGCTTTGTTGTCATTCTTAATCTTCTCACACTTCTCATTAAGACTCTTGATCCTCTCTGCCATCTTGGTGTTTTCTTCTTCAAGAATTTTATTTCTTTTAAGTTGCTCTTCACAATCTTCCTGCCAATAAACAGAAGATGAAAACATGATATGAAATACAAACTAAGAAAACAAGAAAGGTTTTCACCGTATAAAGCAAAATCAGACTGAAACTATTTCATCACGTCACATCACAAGTCAAGAATAGAATCTATTGTTGACAAGATTGAAGCAGCTATAAGATATCCATCCAAATGCTAACAATATTTTTGATTGAAAGAAAAAAAAATTCTGGAGGTGAGTTCTTGAACTGACTTACTTCTGTTGCAAAATGTCTCTCTATTTGGTTCCAAATTTCAAAAGCATGTCTGCATGCTGCCCTTCTGATAAGAAGCATTGGACAGATGGATGCAAGAAGCCACTTAAAGACAACCTGATCCTGCTCCTCCCAGATCTTGTATTCTTGGCTGTGCTTTCTTGGTCTGCCTCCAAAATCCACTCCTCTGATGAACTTCTCAAGTTTGCTTTGCCTGAGTGCTGCCAAGGCTTCAGCCTTCCAGGTTGAGAAATTCTCATCATTCAATTTGATAGAGATTGGATTCATTGCTAGTTCCAGGTTCAGAGAGAATTCAAGAGATTCAACGAATTGCTAACTGAAAGACTTTGTAACATTTATAACATAGTAACCAATGGTCTAAACAGCAACATTTTTTACATAACCAACAGACTTTGTAAAAGAATATAACTACTCCTAACTGATAACTGACTTAACCGTTTACATTATGTTGTTTCATTTTTTCAGCCATGCTTTCATCATTAATGCAAACTTTACTCATTTGTTCTTTCCTATTAATGTAGTTTTGCTGTCTTATAAAAATCAAAATAACACTGAAGGAACATAAGGTTTCATAATTTCAAATTCTGAAGTTATAAGCCATGATGTCTTGTAAGTTACCCTGATGCACTTTGTCTGGCTAGTTTGAGACCAACCACCTCCTCCTCTCATATAATAGTAATTATCATAAAATGTAATGTTATGTTTAGAAAATTATTTTCAAATTTGTAGAGGTTTAAAAATGCTCCAAATTGAAATGTTTTTTATTTTAATTCCATTTATTTATTAAAAAATTAAAAATTACAATTATAATATATAAACATTAGTAAATTTTAAAGTATTGGATGATTAAAAAAAATAATATTAGACATGATGGAATATAAATATTGACACTTTTATTTTATTTTTGAAGATCCGTCTACAAATTTGACCATATACTCTATCATGCTAAGATATTTTTGTGTTCTTTTAGTTTTTTAATTCTAGATGAGAGAGCTCTTTGTTTGAGTCTTTGTTGACGCATAACTTCATCTTCAAAGATTAAGTTTCATATTCAACCTTCTTCGTATCTTTCCTGAGTATTTCTATTTCAAAAAAGATATTTTTTTGCATTTTAGTGTCAACTTTTATACTCAATAGAAGGATTACCCACTTCCACTAGATTCAATCCTCCTTGGTTTTACTTACTATAGCTACTCAACATTACTTTAAATCAAACACCTAATATGCTAAAATTAAGAAATTAACCACGTAATATATACATTTCACGCAGGACTCGTGTTAACATGACAATAGGGACTCAACAAACAACGATTGCATCTGCGGAGATTTATTTATGTATGAAAATAACATTAAAAATTTACTATACATAAACCAAATCTATAAGATAGATTTAAAAGAATTTATGCTTAAAGCCCAGCTTAAGAATGGGTTACACATAAAACCTAAAATATACATTAAAAAAATTAAATAGTTTGGGAGGTACAGCTTATTTAAGAAGAAATTTAGACGTAGTTAATTCAAGAATTTTTATAACCACATTCCACCTTAACTGTAATTTTCATTCTTATATCCTTTTTAATAATAATCCCTATTTTTCTCATACTTAAGCCAAATAGACAGGTAGGGTCAGAACTCAAAACTTGCCCTAACAAAAAAAAAAATAAAACAATATATTTTGATCAATTGTAAGATGCTTCCATCCTTAGTCAGCAGAGTCAGCATGGCTTCATGGGCAGTAGAGCTGCTATTGATTCTGGTCCATACATCTTAACCAGCTCTTCCTGTACCCCCCACCAAATCACACGATCAAGTTAGTATGGAAAAGAATGCTTAACAATATCAATAATAATAATAATATTCCAACATGATCATCAATTCATGACTCATAATTAACTTCCTTGTCAACCATCACCAAAGACTGGCGAATAAATATATTTGTTATCAAAGAAACTGGTTTGTTTAGCTAATGGTTGGTAATCTTTGGCTTAAATTGAGTTAGGAATGTAGTGTTAGGCCTATGTTAACTAAACAAAGACCATTATCTTTTAGAAAAGACCTAAATACTTCATTTGAAAGAACGGTAAATAATTCAACAGATAGTTGATGAAGTTTAAATGTTGGACCTCTATGGCATCGTTTTCATTGCAGATCTCCAGACATTCCTCGGAAAGACTCTTGAGCCTCTGTGTGAGCATGGAGTTTTCATCCTTAAGAATTTCCATTTTTTTATGTAGCTCTTCACATTCTTTCTGCCAAAAACAACAGATGATCAGCATGTGAATACAAACTTTACGAAAACAATAAGGGTTTTCTCCATATACAAATATCATTTGTTTCCAGAAAGAAACCAAACAATTTCACAAAAGATGTAATAAAAGTCAGTGAAAAGCACAAGTAAAAAATTGCTACTTCTGTATATGATTTGGCTTTTAGCTAGCTTAGAAATATTGTTGGCCAT